TGACATGGAAGCATCACATGATCATTAATGAGTGGGGTTTCCTTTGGTTAAAAAAGTTGGGTTCTCTCACTGTTTTCCCAAAACATTGCCATTATTAAATAATGGGATCAAGACATCTTCCAGGAGCAACTTTTCACGGTTGATCATAAGCAACATGGCTGTTAGCAATTTTTTTTTTACCAGTACAACTGATAACTAACACTCTGAAGTAATTTCCCTCTGGGATTATAAAAGTATGTCTGATTCTGATTCTGTCTGATACATTGCCCAAAACACTCGTAATTCACCTTTTCATAAACCTGATGTATTTCTAGATAGCAGTATTTGAACTTCATACATTATTCATGTTAAACTCTAGTGTACCACAGAAACATCAGAAAAGGAGTAAAGCAATGAAACAATAATAACTTCAAAAACTGTAATATTCAAATATAAAACTTCCAAAATCTATCATTTCGAACAGCAAAATAACTTCTTTGCAGGCCCTGAGAAGTCATGGAGGTGCTGAAAAGTCTTTCTGAAATTCAAACTGCTGAGTTTGCTGGGTGTGAAGTGACAACTATAAACACAAGTGGTACTAAAATAATGTAATTAATTTTGATAACTCAATTATTGCATCATCACTAACCATTAACCTTGCCATTAGTTCAGAAATGGCAAGGTTGTGTTGGAATATGCAGACTTTCAAAGAGGCAACCAGCTTAAAGAACAAGCCAGGTCAGTGATTTTGCCAAAAACTGCAAAAATACATGACTTAGATTTTGCATTAATGATGTAAAACCTTTGTCTTTAAAATGGCTTAATCTAGAATGGTATAGCAAAAGGTCCGTCTGCTTAAAATACTGTAAAGAAATATTCTATTAAACACATTTTGTGCAGTATTTCTTTATCCGTTAATCTGAAAATTAGTTATCAAATTTATCTTTAGTTGGAGCCCTACTAACAAGCACTTCTCTGTGCTACCCCAACATCTATAATCAGAAGTCATTAAAGAAGGAAATGCACAGTGGCAGCCTCTTAATGCATGCTACTGGTTTCTTTCAGCCTATCCTAGAGCTTTGAAGTCTTCACCAAGGTTTAACCTGGTAACCCTGCCCCCGCCTTTTTTTCCCCCAGCATCCCTCCAATGTTCCTCCTCGCACACCAACCAAAGCATGGGTTGAGGAAGCAGAATGTTTCAGTTTGAACTGTTGGTGGGCACCCTACAGTTTAATCTGAGAGACGGTCTGAACTGTCTCTTGTCGGGCAACTTTATAAAAAATAAAGACAGACCAGAGACCCATGGAGTGCAACTGGACTGAGAGCGGCTTTGTTCTCCATTGACTTGTTTTCAAAGTCAGAAGGTGAACAGAACTCACATTGTGCACTTTTTCCATGAGTAAATTCAGGCTGTCAACGAGGCCTCCTCTGCCCGATTGAGTTGCACTGCTTCAGGAAAATGCTTAGTTCCTTGTACCCCGAAAGAAGTAAAAGAAGCCATTGAAAGTGGAGAATTTTTGTTTCTTCAATGAGTTGTATAGATGCCAGAAATCAACCATGTTTACAGAAGATTGTTTTCCAATATTTTGTAGACTTTTGTTGCAGGTTACGTTTTCTTGCTCCCTATCCGAAAAAAGCTTTTCTTCCTAATATGCAGAGAGAAATTATTGAGCATACCTAATCTGTCCATTTACTTTTTTTGAAAGTTGGAGTTTTGCCACCATTGTAACACAAAGATTCATTATATGGTTGCTGGCTCTCTAATTACAGCCATTATGAATTGAGATAGAACACAAAAAGACTGCAGAGTAAAATCCATTTGCTGCTGACTCTTTATAACCTTTGTGTCTGCTTGTTGTGCATAAAAATGTTCCGGCTAAAAAAATATATTAATTAAACCTGCAAGGGTTGGAGCATTACCACAGAAGGATACAATTCTGTTCATTTAAATGACAATGGCATGTCTGCCAGCTGCTTTTCCCAGCGCTCTCTAACCCCGGCCATTATCACAATTGAAAGAGTAATCAGCCTCCTCTGACTCACACACTATACAGAGAAAGGTTTTTTTTTTTGTGGATTTTAAAAGCTTGGAGGTTTCTTTCTGATGTAAAGTGGTTCAACTGAGCAGCAGTGGGCTGTGTAGACTTTTTTAATGTAAAACACAGTTCCAAGTTTATTCATTTTCAGTTTAGAAAAAACCCTGTAAAGAGTTGTAGCCTAACGTTAATTCAGGGGTTTTTCCTCCATCGCTATGAAACTGTTCAGTAACAGGGTTCATCAATGAGAGCTTTGTGGGCCGCCACACTGTTCCCAGCTTGCTTGAGTAAACAGTACAGTAAAGATACTTTTCACTACTGCCATATTTATTCAGTGGCAAGAAAGCTGAATGTTTCGCCTTCTCTCAATTTCAACCGTCAGTTCCTTCTACCTACCAACCTGCGCCAATCAAAGCATCTCTTATGTATATTTACTCGAGGTCAGGCAGATAACCATGAGTATTATGTCAAATTATCTTTTTTTTTTTTATCTTTTATAGGCTTTATACATTTAGCAGATGCCAAAAAATACTGATGCTTTTAAACAATGTTTCAAAACTGCAAAAGCAAAATGTGTATTACATTTCTGCAGTTAAGAAGTTATTTAAAAGAGAGCCCAAGAAGGCCCCTCAATGATATGAGATTTGTCAGGCTGTAAGGAGAACACCTTCCCTCCACCTGTCTCTAGGCCCTGCTAGTCAGCTGGTACATTAAAGGTTCAGTGGAGGATGTTCTTTTTCTGGGTGGATCATCAAAATGAGTGGTCCACCGAGTTGTCATTCATTCTGGTCATATGTTTATTTAAGGTTGTCCTATATGCTCGTTCCTATTTTCAACTTACCACTGGTGAGTCTGACATAGTAGAAAAATTGCAAATCTTCTTTTGGAAAATAAGCTTGTATAAGTGATGCAAACAGCAACTTTTAAACAGCATGCACAAGGAGAAATGCATTTGCATACAGGCTTGTGCATGTGCATTTTTTTTTTAAATTGTGAGGGCATGTCTTTTCAAAAAAATTATGAAAATCCTCCACTATACCTTTAAGTCAAACTCCGTTTACCTATATTGAATGAAAATTACATTTGATTTAATGGTGATATGTCTAGTCTCACAAAGCTTAGAAGGACTATGATTGGAAAACAAAAGGAGCACCATTGATAACAGATACGAAAAGGTTAGTTGCAATTCATTGAGGAGACATTCAGTAACAGTTTCCTCACTTGTAGACAAATGTAAGGTTCCTGGAGTAACAAGTCAAAATAAAAAGTATATATGGGTGAATACTTAATGGTTACACTTTCACAAGATACCTTTGGTAGATGGGTTGCTGTTTGCCTTGCCAAAAAATGTTATATTGTTTGAGGCTGACACTGAAACTAACCTGTTTTATCATGTAAACAATATGATAATTGTGTCCTATCGAGCAACTGGTTGATTTAAAAATATACACTAAGATATTGCCTTCAATAAGGTTGCAGCAATGACAGCTTGTTGCAAAAAACAAAAGTTGAGTCAACGCTTGGTGGACTTTGAGCAACTCTTAGGGCTCAGCAATGCTGCTGGCAGCACTGCAGACATGCACATTTTACATTCTACAAAGGGAATGACACTGCTTTCAACAGCTTCAAAGATTACCAAACTCTATAAGATTTCTTTCGTTCCAGGTAAGAGAACTATTACTCTCTCTTGAAGTAATAAAATCCACTCGTCTTACAGTTCTCTAGGGTTTAAAGTCCCTTTTAAGAGATGCCAGAGAAAGATACTCGAGTTTTGGGCACAGATGAAGCATATCATTGGTTTACCTGTCTTTTAAAATACATCATAAAGACTTGTCTGCGAAGGGCAAACAACAAATCTCTGGAAAATTTACAGCACCAAAACCCCAAGCAGTATTACACAACCTCATGCCTGTTTAATTTCCTCTCCCCAAAAACCAGATGTATGCAAAGATTGTCAAGCATTTCACATAACAAAGTCATAAACAGTTTGTTTGGTTTTCTAATTTAACAGTGTCTTTTTTTTTTTGCAAGTTTCCCTTGACAATGTTATATACATTTTAAACAGCAGGTGCAGGAATTTGTTTATCATCATTCAACACCACAAGCCACAGGAATATTATTGGCTTTCAAGTTCCTCTGCTACTCTCCTATACTTACAGCGAATCTGGGGAGACAGAGAGTTTACAGTTGGAGCATCAGTTTGTATTCATCCACTCTTTGTGCTGTTTACATTGCAGTAATGGTGGGAACAAAAATAAGCACACCCTTTTTGGGTAAAGTAATCCCTTTTTTTGGAAGCATACAACTGTTCTTAAGCAAAATCTGAAGAAAGGATGCTCTACTTTTATTTTCTCGAAATTGCATCAACGCACACTACTGAGATTCCACCCATCCCCCCACAGGCAGATTGGGTGCTCGCCAATTTACACCCAGTTTCCAACCCAGTCCCCCAGCAAGGGCTATCAGAGCCATTTTATTGGCTCTGTAGATGGATAGACAAATGTGTCCTGGTATGCTAAGTGAAGTACAGTCTTTAAACTGGTATGAAGCAAAGCTCTGTTGAAGGTTGGCTGCTATTAATGACTAGGATATAGAGCATGAGAGGCTGTTTGGATTGCGGGCAAGACAAGCGGAGCAGAGTGGGATCAGAGTTGCGTCGACAGGATATGTGGAGGGCCATGTCCAGGGGGAGCTGCCTGCGCTCTCACTTTCCTGACAGGTTGTTGTAAAGCTGCCATGGACTGAAGTGAGGATCTGATGATTGCACGCAGAGTTTTGCAGCGGTGTTTCTCTTAAGTGACTCATCTGACACTACACGCAGGCAGCTGTCTCACAGACCTCCACTCTCACATGGGAGCGCCCTCCTAACTTTCATTTCTGAGAACAGTTTTTGCTCTGTCATACCTAAGAGCTTCATTTGATAATGTTACCCCCATTTCTAATGTTTACATAAACTAAGCGTGCATCCATGTCTTTGTTTTACAGAGGAACTGAGGTGCGCCGGCGTGATATGTCCTGCTCTACATCTGCCCTCTTGCCCCATAGGGTCTGTGCTGACCAAGAGCTACACTCCCCCTGCTGGCTGCTGCCCCTCAGTACCACCTCAGTGCACGTGCGACTTCCGATCCTGCAACAAAACCCACTGCCCAAGTGGCCAGCATGCTGTTCTGATTAAACAGGCCAGCGGCCGGCCAGGAGACTGCTGTGACGTCTTTGAGTGCCAGAAAGGTAATTGGACTTAAGTCTGTAAAACACTTGCTCTCCTTCACAGAAGCAGTTGTGCAGATGGTTGGAGGTACTTTATTGATCTAGGGGTAATATTTTTCCCATCAGGAAGCTTCCCCCTGCAGAACCAATGTAGCAGTTGCTGATTGGGTTGAAACTACTGGGAGTGCTGAGTCAATTACTCCCAAAGTTTAAAATAAAGGGTTTGCTTTTTTTGAAGTCAGGATCTTAGGTGATAAATAGTCAATAACTGCAGTAGATTAGTCATTTGACTTGTTAATTTTGTAAGAATGCAGATTTGACTGGTGTTTTCAAGCCCAACAACAGGACTGAGCGGGGCAAAGACTAAAAAGAGATTTCTGCTTTTTTTGAAATGACTTTAAACTAAAATGCAAAGGCAGTGCATTGCATTAATTCTCCTGTCTGAAACATATACTGAGAAAAGATCAGACTCGAGCATTTAGCTTGCATGTGACTTTAATGTCATCATCAGTCTCAGCCCACGAGGTTCCAACAAGACTCTGGGTGGATACCGGCGTGCAGTCCAGGTTTTACTCTGAACTTGTTGACTGTGCTTATCGACAGTGCCATGAATACTGTGTGATGCCAATACACAGCAGATTTACGTTCTACTCTTAATGACTATAAAAAGTAATTGAGTGTTAAAAGGAAGGAAAAAACATTGAGGCACTTAAAGTGAATGTGGTTTTACTGAGTTTTATGCTGTCTTGTTTTGCTTAATTCAAACTCTACTGTGCTCGATGCTGTGCATTTTCTGTTTCACACTGATGGGTCTTTGGTACCATACCACATTCTTCCTGTTTTTACAGTTTAAGACATGATTGAATGCTTTATAAATCAAATGCAAATATCTTTTTCTTTTCTTTGAGGGTGATGTTAAATGGTTCGTATGGCATAAAAAAATAAGTGAGGCTGCTGGACTTTTTTTTTTTAGTAAAGAAAAATATAAATAAGAAAAAAAGTTATTTGAGTTTAATAGCCAATAATTTCAAACTGGTCATGTTAGCAGCAGTGAGTGAGAGAGTGAGCATGAGGTAATTATCCACTAAAGGAGCTGAAAATGGACATCACGTGAGAAAATAGTTTGGACACAATATGAATAGCCTTGGACAAGAATTCATCGGAAGACTTGACAACATTGTCGCTATAATGCAAAACATCTCAGATTAAATCACATATATCCTATATGGAACAGGTGGATGAGATTGGCGTTAGGGGAACTGAGGCTTTCTGACTCCGTCTTTGGGAGCTGCGAGGTCTGCATTTCAGACTGACTTAGTGTCCTGATCCAGTCGAAACAAGATTCTCATCTTCAGCTTGCAGAAAAAGACGAGGGGAACTTCATTGAGAAGCTTATATGTTAAGAACTGCAACAACCACTTGATCTCAACCTAAAATTAACCTAAAAAAACAGCCTGGACAACAGGTCACTGGCACAGCTTTTTGGAAGCAAGTCGCAGTCCCAATCTGAGGAATTTGGCAGCAGCTTAGAGAGCAAGAGACAAGCTACAGCAGTACGGGTATCCACTAGGGCTGTTGCGCTAGTCTTTTGCTTTTTGCTACGGTACAGTATATTGACTGAGCCAATGGATCTGACGTTTTGATGCCAATGTTATAACAGAGTATCCCCCACATTGCTACCATCATCATCTTCAAAGGCGATTTCTCTTGTTGTTCACTTTAAGGGCACAGATTTTCCACACATGAGCTGTTTAGACTTTTAACTTCAGGTCTCCACTGTAGAGTGTCATTTGCAAAAAACAACCTCCACCCAGCCTACCTCTCTGAGAACAGCAAGCATCTTACAGCCTGAGTAGTCAGCTACATTGCTGTGAAACAAAATAAGCATATTTGCACTGGAGCTGAAAATAATAATCTAATTATTCGTGATTATTTAAATATTGAAATAATCAACTTATTCTGTGATGACATAATCAACAGCTGAATTATAGAGTCTAAAACATGCAAGTTACCAAAGTTAAACCCACTCAGATCAGTATTTAAGCCAAAATAAAAAATATATACATTTTGCATTTTCAGGGGACATATTATGAAAAACACTTTTTTAGCTATTAGATAACATTGTACTTTGAATCTCTGATACCCCTTTCCCACTGGCCAAAAACTTAGTTTCAACCCGGGAACGATCGGCTTTTGGTTGCAGTGGGACCAGGTCACTGACGCATGTCTACCCGGGTCAAACGATTCCGCATGCAAACAACATTAAATTCACCTTGGCTCTCCGTTGGCACGCTGTAGGAACACCTGAACCGGGTTGACCTGCTAATTTACATGATACCATTAAGTGCAATGTACAGACGTCAACACACCGCGCCAGTCGCTTCTGATCTAACAAGCCGAAACAAATCTTTTTACATTCGATAAACATGGTGCAGCTCTGGTGAGAGGGATTCGATATGAGGGGCCGTTTAGGACAGAAACTATTTTTCCTCTCACGTACACCAATAAAACCATGCACACACCTCAGTAGACACACACACACTCTCAAAAAAAACTATGTTTTCCTCTCAAACACACTAGTATGACATGCACACATCACAGTAGAAACACTCACACACTCTCAAAAAAACTGTTTTCCTCTCAAACACACTACTATGACATGCACACATCACAGTAGAAACACTCACACACAATCACAAAACTAAAATTGAATACATGTCTTATGTGTGTGTGTGCACTAATACTAGACTGTATGAGAGGGCATAAGTGTGTGTGTGTGCACTAATACTAAACTGTATGAGAGGGCATAAGTGTGTGTGTGTGCACTAATACTAAACTGTATGAGAGGGCATAAGTGTGTGTGTGTGCACTAATACTAGACTGTATGAGAGGGCATAAGTGTGTGTGTGTGCACTAATACTAGACTGTATGAGAGGGCATAAGTGTGTGTGTGTGCACTAATACTAGACTGTATGAGAGGGCATAAGTGTGTGTGTGTGTGTGCACTAATACTAAACTGTATGAGAGGGCATAAGTGTGTGTGTGTGCACTAATACTAGACTGTATGAGAGGGCATAAGTGTGTGTGTGTGCACTAATACTAGACTGTATGAGAGGGCATAAGTGTGTGTGTGTGTGTGCACTAATACTAGATTGTATGAGAGGGCATAAGTGTGTGTGTGTGCACTAATACTAAACTGTATGAGAGGGCATAAGTGTGTGTGTGTGCACTAATACTAGACTGTATGAGAGGGCATAAGTGTGTGTGTGTGTGTGCACTAATACTAAACTGTATGAGAGGGCATAAGTGTGTGTGTGTGCACTAATACTAAACTGTATGAGAGGGCATAAGTGTGTGTGTGTGCACTAATACTAAACTGTATGAGAGGGCATAAGTGTGTGTGTGTGCACTAATACTAAACTGTATGAGAGGGCATAAGTGTGTGTGTGTGCACTAATACTAGACTGTATGAGAGGGCATAAGTGTGTGTGTGTGCACTAATACTAGACTGTATGAGAGGGCATAAGTGTGTGTGTGTGAACTAATACTAGACTAAATGAGAGGATATACATATGTTTGTGTGTGCGCGCATATGTGTGTGTGTGTGTGTGTGTGTGTGTGTGTGGGTGTGAACTAATACTAGACTGAATGAGAGGCTATACATATGTGTGTGTGCGCGCGCGTGTGTGTATGTGACTGATATCGTAGCAGACTGAATGAGAGGCTTGTACTTGTGTGTGAGAGTTCAACCTGTCACGGAAGAGGCGGGGCAAATTGGCTAGCGCATGCGTGGAACCCAAACTGAGCAATATAATGTAAAACGGGGTGGGCAATAGGGGGCAGCACACAAGCCAGTTACCTGCTGAGCCAACAATAATGAGCTTCCATACAAAATTTATAACTAAACCCATCATATTTATTCTATATTGTGTCTGTTGAATTTCTATTCTGTTCTATATCTGGCCTGCTTTCTGAGTGACTATACTGCAAACTAATTAAAGATGAACTAGAATCTGAACATACACTATATTGCCAAAAGTATTTGCTCACCTGCCTTGACTCACATATGAGCTTAAGTGACATCCCGTTCCTAATCCATAGGGTTCAATATGACGTCGGTCCACCCTTTGCAGCTAGAACAGCTTCAACTCTTCTGGGAAGGCTGTCCACAAGGTTTAGGAGTGTGTTTATGGGAATTTTTGACCATTCTTCCAGAAGCGCATTTGTGAGGTCGCACACTGATGTTGGACGAGAAGGCCTGGCTCTCAGTCTCCGCTCTAATTCATCCCAAAGGTGTTCTATCGGGTTGAGGTCAGGACTCTGTGCAGGCCAGTCAAGTTCATCCACACCAGACTCTGTCATCCATGTCTTTATGGACCTTGCTTTGTGCACTGGTGCACAGTCATGTTGGAAGAGGAAGGGGCCAGCTCCAAACTGTTCCCACAAAGTTGGGAGCATGGAATTGTCCAAAATGTCTTGGTATGCTGAAGCATTCAGAGTTCCTTTCACTGGAACTAAGGGGCCAAGCCCAGCTCCTGAAAAACAACCCCACACCATAATCCCCCCTCCACCAAACTTTACACTTGGCACAATGCAGTCAGACAAGTACCGTTCTCCTGGCAACCGCCAAACCCAGACCCGTCCATCAGATTGCCAGATGGAGAAGCGCGATTCGTCACTCCAGAGAACGCGTCTCCACTGCTCTAGAGTCCAGTGGCGGCGTGCTTTACACCACCGCATCCAACGCTTTGCATTGCACTTGGTGATGTATGGCTTGGATGCAGCTGCTCGACCATGGAAACCCATTCCATGAAGCTCTCTCTGCGCACTGTTCTATAGCTAATCTGAAGGCCACATGAAGTTTGGAGGTCTGTAGTGATTGACTCTGCAGAAAGTTGGCGACCTCTTCGCACTATGCGCGTCAGCATCCGCTGACCCCGCTCCGTCAGTTTACGTGGCCTACCACTTCGTGGCTGAGTTGCTGTCGTTCCCAAACACTTCCATTTTCTTATAATACAGCT